GGATTTAAGGCTGGAGTCTTCATTTCCTCTTGTGGTTATGTTTGAATGGGAAACACCATTCAATAAGGATCAGAAGAATCTTAGTGAACAGTGTTTTCTTGGGAAAGGGTTGGCTGCAGCTGAATATGAGGAATGCTGTTTATGAGAGTTCAAAGCATGGCTTTGATATTGGCTATTTACGGCATTAAAAATATAATACATTAGTCTGTCCAAGATAGATTAAAATGGGGAATAAAAAAGTGATTCATGACATTCCATATTTTCTGATTTTTTTTCACTTGAATGAAAACTTGTATCGCTACCATAAGAAAAATAACATTGCTGCTATTTCTCTGCTGATTGTGTACTTCTTCTACATTAGAACTATAAAATAGTGCTTGAATACCATTTCAGCCATATATTTTTTATCAGTTGCATAAGCTCTCTAAACTTAATTTGAAAAATGTGTTGTAAAAATATGTCTATCTTATTTTTATGATCAAAAGAATAATACATCTAAACTGCTTAACACAGTGTTTGACATATAGTGGTGCCTTAACAAAAGTAGGCCATTGTCAACTGTATATTTTCTTGTTTTAGCTGATTTGTATTTTCTGGTTTCTCTAGATAATTAAGTTGGTTTGTAGAATTGTTACTGGCAGTTGGTTTGTAGAATTATTATTTTATATGGATTACTTTAGTGAATGCCCAAGAAAAAATTCCTAATTCTTAAGGGAAATATGTAAGAGAGGTTGAGAATTGAATTAACCCTTTCATTGCATTACAGCAGACTAATGCCTAATCAAGGCTTCTCAATCTAGGCACTGTTGACATTTGAGGCCAGATAAATCTTTATTCTATCAGTAGGGGCTGTTATGTGCATTGTAAGATGTTTAGCAGCATTCCTGGCTGCTAACTAGTAGATGCCAGAAACAATCACTCTCCCTTCTGCCTCTAGTTGTGACAAACAAAAATGTCTCAAATGTCCCCGAGAAGGGGGGAGCGAAATTATCCCCAGCTGAAAACCTCTGCTCTAATATGTGAGGGCCACGATGATTTCATCAGCTTGAAAACTGGTAACAACAGCCTGTCCCAGTGTTTGCTGACCCTGAAGGTGGAATCTTTTTCATATGCTGCATTTTTGTCCAATAGTATGATCATATTTTCTTCTTCAATCGTCTTATTAAACAAATGACTATAAAATAACTTTCTGCGACTAGTGTCAGAATCATCTGCAGGCTTGCTTTTCACAAGAACTCATAACTTAAGTGATCTCAATACTCAGGGTCTTAGATAATCAGGAATGCATTAATCATGTCTTTCACTACATTATTTGCATTTTTGGTAATTATAGACTAATGAGTTTGGCCTTTATGTGATATTTTAGTTCACATATACCTTTATAAATATTTCAGCTTTGTGGTAATTAAGTAAATTGAACATTATTAATTAGAATGCAATCAGTGGGTATAGCTAAAAAATATTTCAAAGTAGCATTTTTAATGTCCTGATATTCTTTCAGTAAAATTCTCCATGGAATTTTTTTCCAAAATAAATTCATAAGTAAGTAAAACTAAGTAGCTTTCTGATAAAAAGTAGCTAAAATCGTATGATTATATACAAAGGGCATATTTGCTATACATCTGATTCTGTTATTCTTCATAGAAATGCATAGAAAAAAAGTTGTTGAGTAGAATCATTCTGAAATCATTTCACATATGAAGTAACTTTTGTAAAGCTATAATTTTATCATTTCCTGAAAATCATAAAGACAACTTTGAAATGTTTAAATTGTAATTTTGACAAAGAAAGCTAAAAGGTGAAACATATTTTTATGAAGAATTAACCAAATTTTTGTAAAGATTATGTAATTCTCTTGTAAGTTATTTTTCTAGTGCCTAACGATGTAAAAAATGACTCATCAACTTTTGGGCAGAAAATGTGATTCCTGTTATTAATAAACTAATAGTTGTTGTCTGTTTGTTTTTCATTCAAGTATTTGCCAGGCTTTTATGTTCTTTATATTTAAAAAATCACTGCTAAATAAACTACGTTTAAAGCATAAATGAGTGTGGTATAACACATCTATGAAGGGAGATAAACATATATTCAGATGGCAAAATTTAATATTTGCTAAGATTTATATTAACTTTTGGCTTTTTCTGCTCATATACCACTAACAGTTGCTCCTGAACTTTTCTTAAATTATGTCATGAATCAGAATTATTATATGAGCCAGTTCAGGGTTCTGAAATATTAAGTTAACAGAAGTTACAGTGCAGAATATTAAATCTGAAGTTCCAAACTTTCATGTAATTCATTTGGCTTTCATTAAAACATTCATGATTGCTTAACTATTTATGTCTACTTTTGATTAGATATTGGACTTTTTAATTACATTTAAAAATGTGCTGTGATTTTACTGACAAAAGCATTTTTTTTCAATTTTTGAAGCATTGAATAATGAAAAATAATGATATCATTGAAAGTGTTTTGTTCTTTTGAAAGCACCAATATGCTACTATAAACATGTTCAAAGTCCTTAATAATTTTTAATCATTTGTCACAAGGCTAGTTAAGAATTTCAACTGTCCATTAAGGAGTTACTTGACAAGAAAAAATAAAAATATTGTAGAGACATGAGTAATCTGATTAGCTATTGGGTGCATTCAGTGCTTCTTGATATCAGCTGAAGCTGAATTAAATTAGTCACTGGTGCATTTGTCGATTGGAGCCAGAAAGTCTACCCTATTTAATTTTAAAATCATTTGCTCTGAGTAAATTATGGCAGTAACCACTAAAGAAGTCATATTACTTTAGTTAGCAAGATCTATTTCTTTTAGAGTGGGAAGATAATTATTGACTCTTAAAAGATGGAGCACACATAGGCTCAAAATAAAGGGATAGAGGAAGATTTACCAAGCAAATGGAAAGCAAAAAAAAAAAAAAAAAAAAAAAAAAATCTCTGGTAAAACAGATTTTAAATCAACAAAG